GGTGTTTAGAAAAAATGCATCTCAACTGCTCCAATACTCCTGACACATATGGGATCACTACAGGTTTTCGCCTGGGCAGCAGTTGTCCTTCTCTCCTGAATCGGTTGGAGCTTTCTTTAGGTGCCTTCCCAATTTTGACAAAAGTCCAGCTGGGATAACCACATTTACTCAGGGCCTTCTTGTGCTGTTCTTCTGCTTCCCTGGCCGCTGTGTCTGTAGGGACAGTGTTCGCTGTATATTGTAGTGTCCTAATGACACCCAGGTTATGCTCCAGTACTAACGGTGGTTGATCAGTGGTTGTTGATCAATGGTCATGAGAATTTGCATACTAATGATGAAGGTGACCTCCCAGCCCTTTGTTCCTTCAGTGGGCTGGTTTCAGTCATTATGCAAATGTACTGTTTATAAGATTGGGAAAACCTGCAGTCAGCTGAGACTGAAGAAGTCACTTGGATGAGTGACGAAACATTTCTCCCACTGAAAACGCTACGTCCAGATGAACAGAATCAACTTTTGGGGGTTCTGTTTATGTTTTTTAGCCACTTGGCTATGATAGTAAGCAGTAGATTGATGATTGAGCATGCATCAAGACACATCAATAATGCCCAAACTATTTGTTGCCTTTCTGTGAATAAGTGAGTTGCAGTCACAGTTGTATTAAATAAAGCTTGGTCTCAACCCCAGTAATTACAGGACAGCTTTTTTATGGTCATTTTGAGTTGGCTTGTGCTGCTCAAATGTTCACACCGTCATGTGCATGATGTCTGTGGTGGGTGTGGGCTCAGAGAAGGTTTGCTTGGGGTTTTTGCTTATTTTCATATTATCACAAAATGCCAACATTGTTAGGCTGAATGAGTGGACTCTATGGCAGAACACACAGAAACACAGGGAATGCAGAAAGTGCTCTTTATTTACAATGTCTGGATTATTTACACAGGGTGAGAGATTGTGTACCGTGATAAATAAACTGAGGGAAACCAGGGAAGGGAGCTGACACACGCACGGTGGATCTACGAGAAAAAAGAAAACAAAGTTTTAGGGGAAGATACCAAACAATCAGTAAGAAGCGGTAATAAACATGGGGAGAGTTGGAGAGCTCTCTTGTCACACTGGCAGTACAGGCAGGGGCGAGAATCTCTGGGATGTGGAGTTAAAGATGAGCTTGATCTCTGTAGTGATCCTGGAATTACGGCTTCACCAGCAGATGACAGGCAACCGGGTGATGGATCCGGCTAAGGATACAGGAAAACAAGTATCCAAGACATGGGTTGGCCGTAGTGCACACCAAGGAGATTAACAAACACATTACCACTCAGGAAAGCGACAGTATTCAGACACCAGACGTCTGTCACTTCTCCTAAAAAACGCTCCATCAAAATGACATCTGATGTACCGCCGGTGTGCCAGCATCCCATGACACACCGCCCCGCCTACCTGTGCTGAAAAAGGAAACCCATGACAGCTTATAGTTTCTTATTTCCTGATGTTCACAGAGTTTCTTGACTCCACATGTAGAGTTAGTACTACCACCATAAGGGCTGAACTACAAACCAAGTCCAGCATAGCTTAGCTTTCTTTGCATTAGCTGGCTCATAAAACCTCAGTCAGATATAACAAACACGCTTCAGTCTCTGTTTGCTCTCACACTGAAAGTGATTTCACGTCTCCTTTCACACCTACTTCAGTCCAAAACAATATTAGAAGAACTGTTGATAGAGATCAATAGAGATTATAACAAATACAACAAACGAACAGCAGTGGTGCTGATAAGTGAGTAAGGAGAGTAAGCAGTGCTGCAGACGATCAGTCTGTAAGCACTGCGAGAAAGTCAACAACAAAGTCATTGACTCATTGTTGTACTTTCATCTGATGCCTTGTGTGTGCACACACCTTGTTTTGCATGGCAATAGTTGACAAATTGATGTGTAAAGACTGAGAACAGTTACTGACAGAGGCCACAAACCCATAAACAGAAAAGAAAACACTACCTCCTTGTATGTTTAAATGGTTAATGAAAATCTGAATTCTACTTTTAGCTTTACATGCACAGATCAGAGACACTTCAGACCCTTGAGCAGTTTTCAGGAAGTCAGAACTGAACTCATCTCTACTGTTATTTGTTTAATGATCTTATCAGGTTCATACCAAATAAATACACTGTCAGTGTTTGAGCTTGTTGTCCTGCTTCTCCCTGATGGTGCTGATTTTTCTTTTCAGCTTGTTTAACTGAGGACTTCAAGGCTTAATGTTAATCCTCTTTAACAGTGTATGTGTGTGTGTCTATTCAGCCATTTCCTCAAAGCCCAAGTTAGTAGGCTCTGAAATACCAGAATGTCTGGAAGGCATAACACAATCCAGCAAGTGTTTGTTTTATTAGGCTTGTAGAGGGGAAGAAAGTTGTTGATGTGAGTGATAGCAGCGCAGGAATTCAGTCTGATGTGTGACTCTGTTATGTGGTAAAGAGACGGGGAGCTGGTGGTAAACCAGTGTCTAAGTGCAATGCAGAGCTGCCCCTTACTAAACCCGACCCTGCAGAGCACTGAGGGCGTCGTGTTCATCTTCAGGACCACCTGGCAGGAGATTGTGGAGGATGATGGCTTTTGGAGGGTCCTGCTGCTGGTGGTCATCACCCTCCTCTGCCTGGGCATCACCTACTACGTCAGCGGGGTCCTGCCTTTCTCAGGGTGGAGAGGATGCAGTAAAATAAATGAAGGTCTTTGTGTAGAACAAAGACCCTGTTTGCTCTTTTACAAGCTGATATTGCTGATGTTTTGTATCTTTGATTTTCATTGTTTCCGCCTCACTTGTTATTTCCTCAAATATCTTTGGAATGAACTTTTTCCTTGCTGTATTTATTTCACACAAATACCTGCAGCAATCATTTAAAAAACGTCTCAATATGTACAATGTGCAATATGAATAAAATGTCTGAATGACTATAATCTTCATCACGGGAGTGTCACTTTGTTACCAACTCAACTTTATTGGCACACAGCAGCTTCCCTGAGCTTTTTATAAAGAGCAAAGTAAAAAGAGTGAAGACTGTAAATCTGTACA